CCTGCAGCCCAGCATGGCATCCCAGGGCACAGCAGGAGGCCCAAGGCAGAGGCCCTGAGATCAGTCCATTCTGTGCAGACAGGAGCATCTCTAGAGACCTGTCTCTGCTCGCTGTGTCACCGGAGGCTGCTCCCGGAACTGCACCCAGAAGCTGTGATGGACAAGGCAACCATCCATATTCTCTCCCCAAACTCCCAGCAGATCCTTGGGGACCAGTGACCCATTAACTCACTTCCCTGGGTTCAGGGGCACCCACAGCAAAACAGGAAGGCAAGAAGCTGTCCTTAACCACCTGCTTAGTGCCAAGTGTTTTCATAAGCCTCTCTGCCTCCCAACAAGCTCCTGAGGTGGGTGCCATTGGCACACCCATTTTCCAGATGAGGATGCTGAGGCCTACAGTGGGGCAGTGCCTTGCCAGAGTCAAAAAGACATGATCCAGTCAGGCGTGGTGGCTCACACCTGTAACCCCAGCACTTTAGGAGGTTCTAGCGGATCACTTGAGGTCAGAAGTTCGAGATTAGCCTGCCCAGTATAGTGAAACCCCGTCTCTACTAAAAATACAAAAGTTAGCTGGGCATGGTGGCATGCACCTATAATCCCAGCTACTCAGAAGGCTGAGGCAGCAGAATCGCTTGAACCCGGGAAGCAGAAGTTGCAGTGAGTAAAGATCACACCACTGCACTCCAGCCTGGGCAACAGGGTAAGACTTTGTCTCAAAAAAAAAAAAAAAAAAAAAGACATAATCTGCCCTCACAGAGCTTGCAGTCAGCCTGGGACTGGGGGTAAGAAACTACCTGTGAAGAAATTCAGGTGCTCCTTGGAGTTTTGGAATTCTGGGAACTAGAAGATCATGTAATCCATGCTGCTACTCACTTTGCATCCAAGAAATCCAAAGTTCAGTTCAGGAAAGTGATCACAACCTGCGCCACTGCAAAGCCAGCACTGGCCCCAACCCACGTGCTCCTCCAGGGGTGCTGTGTACCTCAGCCACCAACACAACCAGGGAAGATCAGAGAAGGCCATCAACAGTGTGCTCTGTGTTTGTGGGGAGGGGCCGACCCTGTGTGGACACAGCCAGAGTGCCTTGAGGGCCCCTTGCTGGGCAGTGCAGGGGATTCTGTCCAGAGAGGCTACCAATGCCCCCTCTCACCTATGGGACTCAAGGCATGGGCCACGCCATTGGTCTCTAGGGCCACATCACCTGAGATGAAGACAGGAAGCTCCTACAGCTACACATGCCTGAGGTTCTCAGAGTGCTGCCAAGAAACAGTGATGGTTTGCTGGAGGTCGGCGCCAGCGCCAGCCCCTGAACCCATTGAGGCTTCACACTCCCAGTCCCAGTTTCTCATGTCCCTAGGTCTGTCTGGTCAGGCATTGATGCCCTCTATCTGTAGCAGTTTTTGTATTTATTTGCTTTTTGTTTTTTGAGATGGAGTCTTGCTCTGTCGCCCAGGCTGGAGTGCAGTGGCGTGATCTCAACTCACTGCAACCTCCACCTCCCAGGTTCAAGTGATTCTCCTGCCTCAGCCTCCCGAGTAGCTGGGACTACAGGCCCCCGCCACCATGCCCTGGCTAATTTTTTGCATTTTTAGTAGAGACAGGGTTTCACCATGTTAGCCAGGATGGTCTCGATCTCCTGACCTTGTGATCCACCCGCCTCGGCCTCCCAAAGTGCTGAGATTACAGGCATGAGTCACTGTTCCCAGCCTGTAGCAGTTTTTAAACATGTCCACCAAATTCCTTGACTTTCTGTTCCTCACAAGATACAGCTTGAGCATGGTGGCTCACGCCGTAATCCCAGCACTTCGTGAAGCCAAGGCAGGCGGATTGCTTGAACCCAGGAGCCTGAGCAACATGGCAAAACCCCATCTCTGCCCCCAAAAAAATTAGCTGAGCATAGTGGCACATGCCTGTAGTTCCAGCTACTCAGGAGGTTGAGAGGGGAGGATGGCTTGAGCCCAGGGGACAGAGGTTGCAGTGAGCTGAGATAACAGCACTGCACTCCAGCCAGCCTGGGCAACAGCAAGACTCTGTATCAAAAAAAAAAAAAAAAAAAGAGTCTATGCCTGAATTGGGGCAGGCTCCTGGCTGTATTTTAACCAACAGAATGCAGCAAAAATGATACTACGTGACTTCAGAGGGTGAGTCAGAAAAGACCACACAATCTCCACCTTGTTAGCTGGGATGCTCACCTTTGGAGCTGCCATGTAAGAGATCTACTACCGGCTGGGCGCGGTGGCTCACAATCCCAGCACTTTGGGAGGCCAAGGCGGGCAGATCATCTGAGGTTGGGAGTTTGAGACCAGCTTGACCAACATGGAGAAACCCCATCTCTACTAAAAAAATATGAAATTAGCTGGGTGTAGTGGTACATGCCAGTAATCCCAGCTACTGGGGAGGCTGAGGCAGAATCACTTGAACCTGGGAGGCAAAGGTTTCAGAGAGCCAAGATCGCCCCATTGCACTCCAGCCTGGGCAACAAGAGTGAAACTCTGTCTCAAAAAAAGTGAGAGACCGACTACCCTGTGGTCACCATGACATAAGGAAGCCCAAGATACATGAACAGACATGAAGGGGCTCTGGTCAACAGCCCCACTGAGTCCCAGGCAGAGCCAGGATCAGCTCCCAGGCACATGAGTGAAGATGCTTCTAGGTGATTCCAGTGCCAAGCCGTCAAGTCATTGCAGATTTTAAGTCTTCCCAACCGAGACCTCAGACATTATAAAGCAGAGACAAGCTGTCCCAATTGTACTTGGTCCAAATTTGTGAATCAGCATCATACAAGAGTTTGTTCTCTGGCCAGGCACTGTGACTCATGCCTATAATCCCAGCACTTTGGGAGACTGAGGTGGGTGGATCACCTGAGGTCAGGAGTTCAAGACCAGCCCGACCAACATGGTGAAACCCTATCTCTACTAAAAATACGAAAAACTACCCTGACGTGGCGGTGCGAGCCTGTAGTCCCAGCTACTTGGGAGGCTGAGGCAGGAGAATCGCTTGAACTGGGGAGGCGGAGGTTGCAGTGAGCCAAGATGTGCCACTGTATTCCAGCCTCAGTGACAGAGCAAGACTCTGCCTCAAAAAAAAAGAGTTTGTTCTAGGCCGAGCACAATGGCTAACGTCTGTAATCCCAGCACTTTGGGAGGCTGAGGTGGGCAGACTGCTTGAGGCCAGGAGGGGCTTGTCTAGGGGCAAGGATTGCTTGTCTAGCCTGGGCAACATGATGAAATCCCATCTCAATTAAAAATATATATATACAAAAATTATCCTGGCGTGTTGGTGTGTGCCTATAGTCTCAGCTAATTGGGAGATTGAGAGACGGATGATGGCTTGAGCCCAGGAGGCACGGGTGGTAGTGACTGCAGGCACCCGCCACCACACCCGGCTAATTTTTGCGTTTATAGTAGAGACAGGGTTTCACCATGTTGGCCAGGCTAGTCTCAAACTCCTGGCCTCAAGTGATCCACCCGCCTCAGCCTCCCAAAGTTCTGGGATTACAGGTATGAGCCATGGCACCCAGCCAGGACACTGGATTTGAACCAGGTGACCAGTCTGTGACCTTGAACATGTCCCTCAGCCTCAGATACCATGTTTGTAGAGCTGGAGTCATCATAACTTCTTTGGTCATCTCTTACGTGAGCGTGTGTGTGTGTGTGCATGTGACGGAGGGTACAGATAAGATGGAGGAGAGATCAGATGAGCTCAAGAGCTCGAGAATGTAAGAGCCCTTTACAGTTTAAGCTTAAAGGTGAAGGCGTGGGGTGACGCTGCCTGAAGTCCAGTTCTGGCTTCTTACAAACTGCAGGACCTTGGACAAGACATATAACTCTCTATGCATGTGTTCCCACTTGTGTAAAATGGGGATAATAACAGGGTTATGGGGAGCTTTCAATATGAAAATGCTCAGCCGGGTGCGGTGGCTCACATCTGTAATCCAAGCAGTTTGGGAGGCCAGTCGGGAGGATCACCTGAGATCAGGAGTTTGAGACCAGCTTGCCCGGCATGGCAAAACACTGTCTCTACTAAAAATACAAAAATTAGCCGGGCATGGTGGTGCGCACCTGTAATCCCAGCTACTTCGGAGGCTGAGGCAGGAGAATCAGTGGAGCCTGGGAGGCGAAGGTTGCAGTGAACAGAGATTTCACTATTGCACTGCAGCCTGGGCAACAAGAGTAAAACAAGAAAGAAAGAAAGAAAGAGAGAAAGAGAAAGAAAGAGAGAGAGAGAGAAAGAAAAAGAAAGGAAGAAAAGAAAGAAAGAAAGAAAGAAGGAAAGAAAGAAAGAAAGAAAGAAAGAAAGAGAAAGAAAGAAAGAAAGAGAAAGAAAGAAAGAAAGAAAGAAAGAAAGAAAGAAAGAAAGAAAGAAAGAAAGAAAGAAAGAAAGAGGGAAAGAAGGAAAGAAGGAGAAAGAAAGAAAAGAAAGAAAGAGAAAGAGACAAAGAAAGAAAGAGAAAGAGAGAGAAAACACTCACAAAGCACTCAGCATAGCGTGGGTAGACAGTGCCGGTTCAGTAACACAGGCCATTGTTATGAACGGCTGTGCGAGGTAAGGAGCTGACATCGGTCTGATGGGGCTAAGAAAACCCTGTGCCTCTTGTCTACCTCAGCCTACACTGGAATTCCTCAAAAAAATTCATAGCACAAAACCGGAAGGATCTGGGGAGTGAAGGTGCAAAACCAGACAGTTCTTTGCTGATTTCTTCTCAGAAATGGGGGTCTCGCTATTTTGCCCAAGCTGGTCTTGAACTCTGGGCCTCAAGCGATTCTCCTGCCTCAGCCTCCCAAAGCGCTGGATTACAGGAATGAGCCACTGTACTTGGCCTATTCTTTGCTGATTCCTGATCATAACTGACAGAAGTCCAGACGGACTGGTCCAACTGATGGACAACCTGGTCTGGTCCCTTGCCTAATCTCTGGGACACCTTGGTCAGCCTTTGGGGAGGAGTAAAAAGGGGTCACACAGTTTACTAGAAAGAAAGTAAGCTTCAGAGTCCTGGATCCATGCTCGCTTCAGCAGCACATATACTAAAGCTGGAATGATGCAGAGATTGGCATGGCCCCCGAGCAAGAATGAAATGCAAATTCATGAAGCGTTCCATAGTTAAAAAAAAAAAAAAAAAAAAAGAGTGCTGTCTGCAAACCTTGGCTCTGCCACGAACCTGGCGATGCCAGGCAGGCCCTTTACACAATCTGAGCCCCATCTTGCGATAAATAGGGGATAAGAAGATTGATCTAGCAGGGTTCTTATAAGGCCTGTCCCTAGGCTGGGTACAGTGGCTCATGCCTGTAATCCCAGCACTTTGGGAGGCCGAGGTGGGCAGATCACCTGAGGTCAGGAGTTCAAGACCAGCCTGACCAACATGGATAAACCCCGTCTCTACTAAATATACAAAAATAGCCAGGCGTGGTGGCACATGCCTGCAATCCCAGCTACTCCGGAGGCAGAGGCAGAATTACTTGAATCCAGGAGGCAGAGGTTTCAGTGAGCCAGGATCAAGCCATTGCACTCCAGCCTAGGTAACAAGAGCGAAACTCTGTCTCAAAAAAAACAGCCTGTCCCTGTGCAGGCACACAGTAGGTACTCAATACATGGAGCTGCTATTATGCTATTGTGACTTCTATTACCATTGCTTCCGGCCAGGTGAGGTGGCTCATGCCTGTAATCCCAGAACTTTAGGAGGCTAAGGTGGGTTGACAACTTGAGCTAAGGAGATTGAGACCAGCCTGTGCAACATGGTGAAACCCTGTCTCTATCAAAAATACAAAAGCTAGCTTGGCATGGTGGAGGGCCCCTGTAAATCCAGCTTCCTGGGAGGCTGAGGTAGGAGAATCACTGGAACCAGAAGGCGGAGGCTTCAGTGACTCCAGGCTGGCTGACAGAGTGAGACCCTGTCTCAAAATAAACAATACAATATTGCTTCTTTTTATTTTCACTTTACAACTCCCCCAACTTGAGGGCTCAAGCCAAAAGCAATACGTAACACTTGTTCACAGCTCATGTGAGTCGTAAATGTTGTTCACCAAATATTCCCAGCCCTCCCCTTCCAGCAAGAAGGGTGGGCCCTTTGGGTAGGTGGGGCCGATAAGTTCTCAGCTCCCACCCCCCCAGCTTCTCTTTTCTCCCTGGTGCAGTGGCCAGCAGAGTGCCAAGGTGAAGAACGTCCCCAGCTTGGGACTCTACGTGACCACAGTGCTCACAGCTCCCGGTCCACCAACTGTGGACAAGTAACAAGGGCAAGAAATAGACTTTTGCTGCTTAAAGTCACCAAGATTTGGGGTTGCTAATTTTTTTTTTTTTTTTTTTGACAGAGTCTTGCTCTGTCACCCAGGCTGGAGTGCAGTGGCACGATCTCAGCTCACCGAAGCCTCCACCTCCCAGGTTCTAGCGATTCTCCCACCTCAGCCTCCCAGGTAGCTGGGGCTACAGGCACGCACCACCACATTTGGCTAATTTTTTTATTTTTAGTAGAGATGGGGTTTCACCATGTTGGCCAGGCTGGTCTCGAACTTCTGGCCTCAGGTGATACACTCACCTCAGCCTTCCATCATTCTAGGATTACAGGCATGAGCCACTGCGCCCAGCCTGGGGTTGCTAATTATGGCAGCACCACCAGGCCCATTCCAGCTGATATTCTCCATGTCAGACACTGTGCAAAGAACTTTATGAACATTTAATTTATTCCTCATATCAGTCCTCTGGGACAGAGACTATAATCATATATCGTACCTGTCTCACAGATGATGAAATTGAGCCTCAGAGGGGTGAGCAAATGGACCATGATCACTTCACTATAATTGGCCGTATCAGTTAATTGTTACTGCATAATAAACTAATCTAAATGAATGACTTATAAAGTGTTAAGCTTCTATTACAGTTCAGGATCTACAGGTCAGCCGTGTGGTTTTGCTGGCTATGTTGAGCTCAGCGGGACTTGGCTTGCTCAAGAATCTGCTGTCAGCTGGCAGGACAGCTGGGACAGGCTGGTCTAGGTTGGCCTTGCTTGGGACACTCTCCTCCACATGGTCTCTGATCCCCCAGCACTCTAACCCAGGCTCATATCACACCAAGGTGCAAGAGAGAGAACGTGAAGTGGGCAAGACCTTTCGAGGTCCTGGCTTGGAAGCCATTACTTTGTATTGGTCCAAAAGAAGTGGAAAAATATGGCCAGGCGCGGTGGCTTATGCCTGTAATCCCAGCACTTTGGGAGGCTGAGGCGAGCAGATCATGAGGTCAAGAGATCAAGACCATCCTGGCTAACACGGTGAAACCCCATCTCTACTAAAAATAGAAAAATTAGCTTGGTGTGGTGGTGCACGCCTGTAGTCACCCAGCTACTCGGGAGTCTGAGGCAGGAGAATCTCTTGAACACCAGAAGTGGAGGTTGCAGCCGAGATCATGATGCTGCACTCCAGCCTGGGCAACAGAGCAGACTCCGCCTCAAAAACAACCACCAC